TTGTAACCATCAATGTTAATGGTCTCAATTCACCAATCAAAAGAAATAGACTGGCAGAATGGGTCAAGAAGCAAATTCCAACAATATGCTGCATACAAGAAACACACTTAATTTAAAAAGAAACTTATAGACTGAAAGTTAAAGGGTGGAAAACAATATTCCATGTGACAGGAACTGGAAAAAAAGCAGGAGTAACTATCCTCTTTGCAGATCAAGTGGATTGCAAACCAACACTGATTATGAGAGACAAAGAAGGATACTACATCCTTGTAAAGGGAACAATCCAAGAGGAAGAGATGACAATCATAAATACATATGCACCAAATGCTAGTGCGCCAAACTATGTAAAACAAATACTAATGGACATGAAAAGCCATATATGCACTAATACAATAGTAGTGGGGGACCTCAATTCCCCACTGTCACAAAAAGATAGATCAACTAGACAAAAAATAAGCAATGAAATACTAGAATTTAATCAAACTCTTGAACACATGAACTTAACAGATGTTTACAGAGTATTCCACCCCACAAAATCAGAATACACATTCTTTTCAGCTGCACATGGGTCATTCTCCAAAATAGACCACATATTAATTCATAGAACATGTTTAAATAAGTGCAGAGGAATTGGAGTTATCCCCTATATATTATCAGACCACAGTGTGATGAAATTGGAGATGAATAGCAAAAAACCCCACAAAAATTTCATAAACACATGGAAATTGAACAACACACTTCTGAATAACCAATGGGTTACAGAGGAAATTAAAGAAGAAATCAGACACTTCCTTCAATTAAATGGCAATGACAATACAACATATTGGAATCCATGGGACACAATGAAAGCAGTCTTGTGAGGGAAATTCATAGCAGTGAATACACATATTAGGAAAACAGAACGAGCCCAATTAAACAACCTGATGGTGAACCTCAAGCTTCCAGAAAAAGAAGAGCAGGACAACCCCAAAGCTCGTACAAGGGAGGAAATTATAAAGATCAGAGGAGAAATGAATGCAATTGAGACTAAGAGAATGATACAAAAAGTCAATGAAGCCAAGAGTTGGTTCTTCAAAAGAAACAAACAAAATTGACAAACCCTTAGCCAACCTTATCAGAAAAAGGAAAGAAAAGGTCCAAATTCATGCAATTAGGAATGAAAAGGGTGAAATTGCAATGGACCCAGCAGAAATCCAGAGGATCATCAATACCTACTTCAAGAACCTATATGGCAATAAGACGGAAAACACTGAAGAAATGGACAGATTCCTAGATACATATTAATTACCAAAGTTGATCGAAGAAGACCTAAAAATTCTAGACAACCCAATATCAATCAATGAAATTGAAAATATAATTAAAAACTTACCAACTAAGAAATGCTCAGGTCCTGATGGCTTCACTATAGACACTGAATGTCTTCTACAAGTCATTTAGAGAGAAACTACTGCCACTACTGTTGAAACACTTCAATGAAATTGAAAGGGAAGCAATACTCCAGAATTCATTCCTGGAAGCAAGCATTACCTTGATCCCCAAAGTGGAGAAAGACCCAACTGAAAAAGAGAACTATAGGGCAATCTCATTAATGAATATAGATGCAAAAATCCTTACTAGGATACTGGCAAGTAGAATGCAGAAGATCATCAAGAAGATCATACACCCCAACCAAGTGGGATTCATCCCAGGGATGCAGGGATGGTTCAACATATGCAAGCGAATCAATGTAATACACTATATCAATAGAGCCAAGGGCAAAAACCATATGATCATATCAATAGATGAAGAAAAAGCATTTGACAAAATCCAACATGCATTTATGATAAAAACCCTAGAAAAAATTGGAATAAATGGTGTCTACCTCAATCTGATAAAAGCCATCTATGAAAAATCAACAGCCAATATCATACTAAATGGTCAAAAACTGAAATCCTTCACACTAAAATCAGTACCAAGACAAGGATGTCCACTATCACCACTCTTGTTCAATATAGTTTTGGAAACATTAGCCACAGCAATTAAACAAGAGAAAGAAATAAAAGGAAGAAAGATAGGAAATGAAGAAGTCCAATTGTCATTATTTGCAGATGCCATGATACTCTATATAGAAGACCCCAAGAACTCTACCAGAAGTCTTCTAGACTTAATAACCAAATTCAGTAGGGTAGCTGGATACAAGGTCAACACACAAAAATCAATAGCTTTCCTCTACAGGAACAACAGACTCACTGAGAGAGAAATAGGGCAAATAATTCCTTTCACAATAGCATCCAAAAAACTGAAATACCTAGGAATCAACCTAAC